TGCAGAAGGCCTCCCAAGTAGATGTTTTAGAAGCTTTGGGACTGAGACAGAGACGGTCTCACCTACAGAAAGGCTGCCTCTGCCTTGCCTTTCTTCTGCTGAAATGTTCTTTCTTGCTGAAGTAATCTTAATCCCTGGCACTCTAGATTTGCCAAGCATCATTTCCTAGGGAGAACAGATCTTAGCTGCTGCTGCTGCTGCTGCCCATTGGAAAGATCAGCTCAAAATGTTTAAAATGATGAAAAAAAAACAACAATGATCTGGAACCCAAACAATGTCTGTCTGATGGGAAACCAGACTCCTCCCTCTTGATGGGTGACTTCAGTCACACACTTCCTCTTCCTGAATGCTGAGGTGACTGCCAGCTACGCACTCTTACAGCTGCTTCTGGCCTAAGGTCAGATGGAAGTTTACAGCAGGGACCTCCTCCAACAGGTGCGTTCATGTTTACTCTTTGCATCCATCGGCTTCCTCCCATTACACAGATACCTTAATTCTAGACAGGAAGCAAAGGGACTCCTGGCTCAGAAATAAAGTAAAGAATCCAGCTGTATTATCACTGGCACCCACAAGTTTCCTTTTCAGAACCACCTCTCCTCCTCACAACTACCGAATTCCAGAAATAGAAGGAACTTCAGAAGAGTGTTTGGTCCCCACCCCAAGTAGCTTGTATCAATTGACTTTTGGTTTGAAAACTAATCTCAAAACCACCCTGGGATGAGAGCACAGCCAGGCAAAGGGAGAAGGAAGCAGCATGAACAGCTTTGAGTCAGGCAGAGATCACTCCTGGCGATTTTAAGGCAGCCATATGTCAACTGATGGCTGAATTCCAATGCCTTAATTTTACACAGAAAAACAACCTTCTAGTTAGCAGAATCCATCTACTTTCTCCGTTGCTGATCCCACTGTTCTTTGAATCTGTTTTTTTATCATTACACTGAAGACTGTTGGAAGAATCAGAGGCAAAGTTCTCCAAGCACAGTTCCTGGCATGCAGGAAGAGGCAGATGGGTATTATAATGAATTCCTCTTTTTCCTCGGTCGATTTTGTTGTTGGTTGTGGGGCTTGAACTCTGGGCCTGGGTGCTGTCCCTGAGCTCTTCAGCTCAAGGTAAGAGTTCTACCACTTGAGCTAGAGTGTCACTTCCTGTTTTCTGGTGGCTAATTAGAGATAAGAGTCTCATGCACTTTCCTGACTGGGCTGGCTTTGAACTGGACCTTCAGATCTCAGCCTCTCCAGTAGCTAGGATTACAGGCGTGAGCCACCAGCACCCAGTATCTTGGTTGATTTTTAAGAAACTGAATTCACAACAGATGGCTACAAACTGACTTTGCTCTGCAAACCACAAGCAAGGTGAAGCACCAACCCAACAAAGATTCTGCCAGTGTGGGATTAATCGAATCAACCACAATTGTATTTCTGCCAATCTTGACACCTTATAGAAAAGGCAGAGAAAGGACAGTGACAGAATTAATCTTTCCATGAGACCTGTATGGTGGACATCAGAATTGGCTTTCCTTTTACCTCCCTGTGAGCTGGGCTTTCTCAAAACAGCTCTGTACATCTCCAAATTTTCCCATTCCCATTCCACTTTATCAACCTCCCCCCCCCCACATGGCTGGTGCCCTTTATGTTCTGAAAGGAGTCAGCTGATATGGGCAACACTCCAGGTTATGCCTTAGCACCAGCCCTCACCCCAATCTTACCTAGTCTCTCCACCCTCTTTATTGTTAATAAGGCTTATCGTTCCTTGATTGAATGGGGGAAATCTATAGAAATTAAAATTAGTATGTAGAGACCAAGGGGAGGAGTGACGTTGTCCAAAAAGATATGTATTCTTTACCTGACTTATGTAACTGTGACCCCTCTGTACAATACCTTTATAACAACACTAAAAAATTAGTATGTAAGATTGATTTTAAATATACCCACTTGATATAAGCATAGGGGCATTCCGACACATTACACTAAATTGTTGTTTGGATGTAGTTGGGGCTACTGGCCAAGGGAGAACAGGTCAGGGTTCATTTCTAGTCAGGAAGAGTGAACAAAGAAGCACATTGAAAAACTCACATGATGATATGCCCCGCAACCATCTCCCTCACCCTCCAAGTCACACCAATAAAACACACAGCATAGGAATCTCCCCTGGACACTGTAAGATAACTCTGCTTCAAATGTAGTAGTGTAGAGTGAACACACACACACAAAGAAATGGCACAAAGGGGTAGGTTCAGAGGTGACCAGACACTGCAGGTACAAGGCTTCATTGGCCCAAGCTCCACGCTCAGTCCTCAATTACACTGGAGAGCCAGAGCCTACACTATGATTCCTTATCACTTAGTTGAGCAGAGGAAAGAAACTTTTTACTAAGAACAAATATAAAATTAAAGTCAGCTCCTAAATTGTGTGGCTGAACACAATAAATAAATAAATAAGTTAAGCAATATTCTGCCAACCTCTTCTACCCAGCATGCAGTGTTAGCATCTGGGCCTGGCTTCAATAGCAGCTTTGTGGCCCAGATGGCCAGCACCATCATCCCATAGTTCCTAGCTGGGGGGAGGGGGAGGGAAAAGAGGAGGGAGGGAGAAGGGGAAAGAGAAAAGGAAGGAGAGAAAGACAGGAAGGGAGAGACAGAGGGGAAGAGGTTGGGGGAGGGGGAGAATCTAAGAGTCAACATAGGTACAAGGAACCTCACCTTGAACTTGAAGCCCTAGTCTTCACAGCATATGTAGAGCCAATAACCATAAGCTTAATGTCATGAATTCAATAAAAATAATTTCTTTCTTTCTCTACAAAATTAATCCAGCCTAGCTTCCTAAAATTTGTATTTAAAAATGCAAAATAATTACTCTTATTCCTATTCATCAATAAAAGAATCAGTGAGCACATTCCTACACACACTCACACACACACACACACACACAGAGGACTCACTTCTCCTTCGTCCACTTTCTTATACAAGTGCCAAGCTATGAATTCCTCCCCCATTCCTCTCCACCCCATCTCCCCATTCCTCCTTTTCTCTATCTCTGTGTCTACCTCTATTTCTCATTTAGACACATGTTGACACACAATAACCTACAATGGTAAGAATGTTCATGAAATGCTCATGGGCTGGGCAGAAAGTTACTGGAAAGTGGGAGCTCCTAAAAGTGGAGAGAGACTGAGGACACAGGTAGGGCTGTGGCTAGGAGAGAGAAAGTGTAGAAAAGCTCATCCTAGGTGGTAGCTTTAATATTTGTTGCTTTTGACAAAGAAGCAATGTTCACTTTACTACTTTGGGTATTACTGGCTAAGAAAGGAAAAGAAGTCTCGGTGGACATATATCAAATAAAAATGAAGAGGATTATCTGCCTTAAAAGGGTCCTCAATCATATGGAGAGCAACCAACACCCTTCATGAGTTAAGAAAGAAAAAAATTAAGAAAGAAAGCAAGGAGGGGGGGAGGGAGGAAGGGCAGAAAAGCAAGAAGGGCAAGAGAGAAAGAGAGGAAGGGAGGAAAGGAGAAAAGGAGGAAGGGAGGAATGGGGGAAGGGACAGAGGGTGGGAGGGAGATTTCTGGAGGTGCTACCTGTAGAAGGGTTTGGCACTATACCTTGAAAATTTGGCTTCATTTGCACAATGCAGGCACATTTACATATGGATATGTGAGCATAGTAGTTGTGATGTTGGTATGTAAAATTCATTTCTTATGGTGGGTCAAAGTTTGAAGTTTGAAAGCTCCTGGCATTCAATGGGGCAAAAGTGTGAGGATTCAGAAAGGCCAGGGTTCTGGGCATAAACCCTGGCCCGGGAAGAGCAGCTTCAGCGCCTGTGTCTTGTCGAGCATCCTGGACCAAAATTACATCTCTTTATCTGGGAACTAACACCTTGTTTTTTAAAAATCACATCTGTATCCCCTTCTCCAAATCCTAAGCCCTTTTCCTCCCACCCCACCCCTGCCCTCATGGTTGAAGATCTTCCAATATCCCATCGCCAAATACACAAGGGACAGACAAGACCCACTTGGGTGTTCTTAAGCCCTGGGGTCCTGACCGCCACCCTACACACTTGGCACATCTCCCTAGAGGCCCAGAACCACTGCAGCGCCTCTCAAAGCACCCCTGCGTCTAGCAGAAGGAAATCCACTCATTCACTTTGCATCACCGTGGTCGCCACCCCCACAACGGGAGGGGGCGGGCCAGAAAAACTTGTGCTACCACATTAACTCTCTCCTTTCACCGAGCTTCTGCAGAAACCCCTCCGCCCCGTTCCTGAATGCTCCCGACAGGAATTCCTAAAAAAAGGGGGACAGAGAGGGGAGAGGGAGGCGGGGGAAGGCAGGGGAGGGGAAGAGGGAGGGAGGAGAGAGGGGGGAGGGAGAGAGAGAACCAGCCATAGAGAAAGTGAACTTGGCCGTAGGAAAGTTGTCTAGTGGGAGGGAAGGCGGGCACGCGGGGCCCTGCGAGGTCGGCCCGGGGGTCTGGGGGTCTCCGAAGGCGTTCTCGGCGGGGGGTGGGGGGTGGAGCTCCCCTCTTTCCCACGAGAAAAGCCCTCCGGCCACCGAGGAGAGAAGGAAAACAAAAGCCCCGCGCCGGCAGCAGCCGCCCGCCGGATCCCCCGCCCCGAAGCCGGGCGGGCTGGAGCGGGGCG